GGAAAGCCTATGGAGCAGTTCTACTCTGTCATATACGGTCACCATGAGTCAGAATCAACTGGACAGCAAGAAGTTTGGTTAGGTTTTGGTTTGGTCACTTCTCCAGACTTATTAAGAATTTTAGACCCAGCCTACGTAGTTTTTTTTTTTTTAATACCCCTATTATTCTTCTTTCTACTCCTATTGTCATATTCAAATATTAGTGAATTTGGATTTGCATAATAATTCTCCTCTTTCTCCTCTTTTTTCTCCTCTTTCTCCTTATTCTCCTCTTCCTTCTTCATAGTCTTTGTTGCTGTTCATGTTGTATTTAGTTAGTATTTTTTTGCCAAGAGTGAGACACTTCATCTCCCAGGTTTCTATAACAATTATCTGATCTTGTGACTTAATTAGCAGATAACAACCAAAAATATTCATCAATACAAATGTTTACCTAAAACCAAATACTTTTTTGCTATAAAATGGTACTCAAAGCTATAAAGACAGTCATATTTTTTCAGTCAGCATAAATACTAGAAATGAGGGGAAAAATCACTTTCTGGAATAAATCAAGATATTAAATAAACCAAGTCCCTCTGACTCTCTTCTATCTTGATGCAATACTCCAAATCTGTATCTCTAAGTCTAATCTCTCACCCAGTTTTCATTCTGAGCTTATCAACTACTATTAGAAATATTATGTTAACAGCTGTGACATCAAAGCAGTAAAACAATTTAAGGGTGGAAAGGGAGGGTAATTTTCAATAGTATCTTTATTTTACATATGTTTTCATACATTTTTACTTCTTCAATCACAATCTTCATTGATCATAATAAGTAAGTTTTTCCCTCACAAAAGTAGCAGTGTCCCTGCTAGTAAAGCCTCTATGTCCTTCTGGTCCTTTATTTAGACATCCTGGGACTGGAGATCTTATTCAATAACTATTTTTAAAATTTTATGCTCATAAAGGCCATTCTATTCAGACCTTATTTTAACAATTCAAAATTTCTCTTAAAATAATTATTTACTATGAAAAATAAGACAAATTATTTTACTGTAATCACTGCACTGACAGAAACTTTAGTACATTTGTCACCAAAGCAAAAAGTTATATTTATGAAATAAAATTGACTTAAAAGCTTGAACTGCTTTAACAATCATATTAGGATAGTTAAATTCAATAGATCTTTTTAGTATGGCAAAGAAAACTGAATGGGTTCTCTCTTCACATTTTAATATACAAAAAGAAATATAAGTCAAAATAATAAAAACTGAAAACAATGTAATAATAGTGTTATAATAATAAAACACTATAATAATGGAAAGGTCATTTATTCATTCCTTTCAAATAGCTAGACCTTTATGCAATGATGCAAATGTTCATTTTTGACTACTGAGAACTTGAAATGTGGCTAGTACAACTCAGGGACTAAATTTTTAACTTTATTTAATTCTAATTAACTTAAAGTTAAATTTAAACAGCCACATGTGCCAAGTAGCTACTGTACTGGAAAAAGCATAATAAAAATTCCTGAATAATCTAGATGCCTCAAAATATTTTCAACTCAGTATTTATTGAGTGCCTATTATATTCAAGGTACTATCAAAGTATTATAGTATAGACATAACATGTTATAGTAAACACATGATGTTAATCCATAAGTTTCTTATTTTAAGTACATAACAGCTGATGTTAACTAATTCTAAAATTTAGCGATGTTTCCCATTGAACCCAGCAAATCTGGAGGAGTTAGGACTATTAGAGACAGACAATATTGAGAATTGATAAAGAAGTCGTTAGTAATGTGAAAGTAAAAAACTACAACTAAACCAATCAAATACAGTAAGTCTCTGGGTTACGAACATCCAACTTAAGGACAATGCATACTTGCCCTTTAATGTTATATAATTTTTCCCTCCCTATTAAAAAAATTGAACCAACCCCTACTCGCAACAAATTCTGCATCACAATCACCTTTACTTGCTGCACATGCAGCTTTTAAATCATTGAAAAGGCTTTGAGCCCTTTTTTGCACTAAAAAACCAAACCAAACCCTTTGCCATCAAGTTGATTCCAACTCATAGAGACCTTAAACAGAGTAGAACCGCCCCATAGGGTTTCCAAGGAGCAGCTGGTAGATTTGAACTGCCGACCTTTTTTTTTGGTTAGCAGCCAAGCTCTTAACCACTGTGCCACCAGGGCTCCTTCTTGCTCTAAAGTAAGGATGAATAAGAACCATATGCACCTATTCAGATTTACCTACAAATTCTTAAAGATACATTTAGGAATGGATCTCGTTCATAACCCAGGGAACTGCCTGTCAACAAAACCCAAAAAATCCCAGTAGTGCGGGGTCACTGAATGTTCGGGGAACTGTAGTTCCTCAAAGACACCGCCCTAAGACTCCTCTGGCATAAGAAAACGGTATAGTAATAATGCTGAGTGTGATTCATCAAGCATCAAGAAAGCCTTTGAGTATGCTCTACTTAAAAAGGAAAAACATTGTTTAATAAATGCACAAGTATTTTCATTATAAGTGGTAAACAGAACATACATTTTGACCAAATGATTTGCTATTATATTAATGACAACGATGATAACATTGCATTTCATTATAGTATAGTGAAGTATCCATTAGGACTGTGCCTCAAGTGACAGAAAACCTGATTCATAGTGACTTAAATAAAAATGAAATTTCTTCTGTTTTTATAACTTAACATTCACTGGGAATGGAAAATAACCCACATAATATTCTTTTTCATATCTAGAAACTTAATAGGAAGAAAAGAATGGAGTGGGGCATGTAATTGTCAAATATTTGAAGATCTGTCATGTAGAAGATACACGAAAAACTGAAACATATTATTATTATTATTTTTTAAGATTTAAGATCATCTCAGGGCAATGGTTTTGGAACCCTCTGATAGATGGGTTCTTTTTTTTTTTAATTGTACTTTAGATGAAGGTTCACAGAATAGTGAAACGTATTAAGTTTAACAGCTTTACAGGTTGCTCCTCTAAGGGTAAGAACTACATTCGTTTAGGAAACACCTTGACAGACCACCTTAGATATAGGGGTAAGGGTGGTGAGGCTTTGTGAACATAGTCTGTGAGGAGGCAGCAACAAACAAAAACTGGCGGGCTAGCCTGCTCTGTGAATGAGAACTGAACAGGAGGGCGGAATGGGGAGGGGTCTACAGAAGGGAGAGAAGAGACTGCCCGACATGGCGAGAAGCTTGGAGTCTAGGAATAACAGTGGCCAGTGGGAATCCCCAATTATAGAGTGGCTGAATGATTTTAAAGGTACCTAATATTCTCATCTAATTATTTGAGTTGCTCAAATATGACCAAAATATAACATCTTCCTCAACCTACCCATTTTTTTCCATCAAACTTTCAGAAGAATTTACTATACATACTTGTTGTTTGGGTTTATTTGTTTGTTTTTGAGGTACGGCCAATGGAGGTGAATCAAAGTAAAATGGCTAAGTTCTGGGTCTAATTGGCTAAGGAACAAAGAGAACAGCCATGGGAGAGGAAGTGTAAATGAGAGGACAGCAGAAGTAGGACATCATAACCAGAGATGTGCCTTCAGTTCAAGACAACAGACCGAATACAAATGTGTCCCTTTCCACCTGCCCACAATCTCATTGAGGCTTCAGAAGAAATAATAAAAATAAAAGCAACATCATAAAGAACTGGCAAAATAGGAGTCTCCTGAGCATATCCGAACAGTGATACATTCCTGGAAGACAGATGAGAACAAATTGATGGTCAAACTCAGCAGAGCAGAAAAACCCACAAACCCATTAGATCAACAAAGAGGGCACCCAATCAGGTCAGATTACCCAGAAGCCTCTCCGACGAATTCTAAACCAAAGGCAGCAGAAGTTAGGGAAAGGTATGGGCTATGGGCAGTGTAGCAAGAGCAGGGCTTCAAACCCTTTGTTCCCAGGCAGTTATACAGAAGAATCTTGTTAAAATGTAGATTCTGATTCAGTATATCTGGGGTAGAAATGCAAATTCTCAGCAGGGACCTTGTTAGAAATGCAAATTCTCAGCAGAGGTGCAAACTGGAACAAACTATTCTGAAGCCCTGAGCAAGAAAAATGAAAGGGCAGGCAAGCTAAGTCTATCCAATCACTTTCACAGCAGCTGATTCCAACACTGCCTTCAGGATATAGTCTCTAATATGCTCTCTGAAGTGTGAGCTTTAATAACATGAAGACTTTTTACAGGTGATGAAGTCAGGACCTCAAGCAATGGGTAGGCTTATGGCCACCAGGAAGATAAGAAGCCATGATATCCTGAAGGAGAGTACCACACGCTGACGGCAAATTCTTCCACTTCCTGCACAATCCCTGAAACCAAGACTTGTATATCCAGGGTTCTAATTATTTCTGCAAGGAGACCTGATGGTGCAATGGTCAGGAGCTCCGCCGCTAACTGAAAGGTTGGCGGTTCAAACCCACTCAGCGGCTCTGCAGGAGAAAGACCTGGGGATCTGCTTCCATAAAGATTACAGCTTAGGAAACTCTATGGGGCAGTTCTACTCTGTCATAGGGTCACTATGAGTCGAAAATGACTCAATGCCACATAACAACAACAATTATTTCTGCAAACTACCTTCTCTGACGTACAACCACAGAATTTGAGATATATCTTGGCATCGTAATTATTACACATGTAATTTTTTCACTTATACATCTGGCTTCCCCCAGAAACTGATATTCAGGAAAGCAAAGCAAGTGGGTTATCTTTCTAGCTTCACGTGAAACATGGTGCCTCACACGTAAAAGGTGAGTAAAAAAAAATGTTTGTTAAATTAATGAAATCATAAGCTATAGATGTTCAAGGAAAATATCCTTTAATATGTCTTATACATGTATTTGGCCTTTTTCTTAAATTAATATTCTTCTGAAATGCTCTCACTTAGTGTTATTTTTAACCACAAAAAAATCACAAGGCAGTTGGTTTGTTAACAAGATGCATTTGTGGGAAAGGATGTTCTATACTTACGTTTCTGTCGGAATTGTGAAAGGATTCATTCTATAATTCAAAAATGGACTTGAAATCTCAAGAAACTGTTCAGGTTTCTTCATTACTGGTTCTAAAAAAAGGCAATTAAGAAGTGTGATGCACATCATTTTTTTAAATCTTCCAGGATGACATGCAGAATTTATGTTTAATGCAGTATTGATTAGAGTAAGTATTTACTCAGCAAATTATAATAGAGCTAAATAGGAATGGACTAGGACACATAAGGTTTATTGAAAGAGCTTTACAGACCATGGGATATTAGATTTCTTTTTTCTACTCTTCCTTTGCTTTCCAGATTACAAGGCGAAACAAGTAAGTCTCAAAGAAGAGGGTTAACAACGTCCTCTAGAGTTGTTACTTGCCATTTGCTGCTATTTCTAGTACAGGAATGACTTTGCATAAAAAGTATGCACTAAAAATCTGTGTTCTCTACAGATTAACCTCTACAACACAACTGCTCAGGGCAAGAGGGGGAAGTGTGAACTAACAGAGATAAAAATGGAGAAACAGGAAATGCCACAGAGGGAAGGTCATGCATGGAAAAGACAGCAACAGCTCAAGAAGGGAGTTGGAGATACTCTTATAGGAGTCTGAAGCTGCTCTAGAAGTCAAGACTCTTCCAGGGATAAGAGACAGGGCCCGTGCGCTAACATGGTGAGCACTGAAAGCAAACACCAGGAATGATTATTTTAAGAAAACCTCCTTCGACAGTGGAAAGGATGCCCATTAGAGGAAAAAAAGTGAGGCTATGATGTGTCAATACATGAGATTTTTCTGTGCTTGTTCTAGGCTATCTTCTTAAATGATCCCCCTCCCCAATTTCTGTTACTTTTAACTTTCAATATTAAAGTCTATAGAGAGAAGACAGGCAATAATAAGGGAAGCATCTAGGTGGGACCCCATTATGGAATCCCACCAATCATTTGATTTTCTTCCACAGGTTACAACAGAGAGGTTACTTGCACATAATTGTATAATAATCAGTTGCAAAATCAGAAGAAATCTCCATGTTCAATATTTTTCCTTTCATTCTGCTGTTCCTTATTGCTTTGAATAAACAGCTATTTTAAGTGTAGCTCCATGCATTTTGCTGAAATACAGCATTTGAAAGTAAAGGATTTTTTTTTTTTTTTTTCCACGCGTCATCATGTGGATGCTGACCTTTGGTTCAAGAAAAATCAAAAAAGAACAGAAAGGAAGGAAAGAAGGTAGGGATGAAGGAAGGAAGGGAGGAGGGAGGAAGGTAGAGAGGAAGGAAGAGAGGGAAGAAGGGAGGGAGGGAGGCAAGAAGGAAAGAAGGAAGAGAAGGAGGGAGACTATGAAGTTGTTATAACCCAAAGCAGCAAGTGCACACTATTGGCACCAGCATCCCACTGCAGAAATTCAAGGAATGTAGGAAAATGACCAAAATAATTAAGGGGGAGGGAAAGAGGCAGTTGAGCCTAAAAACAAAAACAAAAAACCAAGTATTGATGGTTCCTCCTCTCCATCCAGACCAGATACTTTTCTTTAATCTTTGTTCTTTTCTGGCAAGGATAAAACATGCTGTGCTAGAGAAACCTTTGCTACCAGCTGTACTGGCTGTATCAGTGCAGGCAGAAAGCAAATGTGAGGAAAATTACATGGTTAACAGTTGTTATTTATATTTTAAAAATGCGTAAATTGTGGTAGGAAGTAGGGTGCAAGGAACAGGTAAATATTTCAATCTATGTGGCTCTTGCAGTTTTAGGATCCTGACTACCACCAAGCTTTATATTGTAGTTGAGATATTGTCATTGAGATTTTCACCTACAATGAAGCATTAACATTTGCAGTGGTAGCAGGAGCCATAGCAACTTCAAAGATCTCCTCACCACCAACAGGGGTACAAGCCATGGTTCAAGGGATCAACCACTTAAAGTATATTTACAAGCTTAGCAGCAATGCCTCCAGTGCACTGGTACTATCTTTGACCATTGATCATTTAGGTGACAGACATGTGAATGTAGCTCTTAACACAATAACCTCTAGAACATGATGTAGTGTTACTGAATTAACAGGATTAGACAATAAAGAGGCAATAGAAAAGACAAAGGGAGAAAATGCAAAGGCAAGAAAATAAGCACAAAAAGGTAATAATAAAGCTGCTCTGTAACAAAGATAATGATTTAAACTTCTTAAAATGAGGATCAGATATTACCAGTTGCCATCAAGTGGATTCTGACTCATGGCAATGCCATATGTTTCAGAGTAAAACAGTGCTCTTTAGGATCTTCAATGGCTGTATGTAGTCTTTTAGAAATAGATCACCAGGTCTTTCTTCTGAGGTACCTCTGGTGGATTGAAACTGCCTACTTTCTGGTTAGCAGTTGAGTGCTTAACTGTGCTACCCAGGGTCTCCAAATCAGATACACACCCAAACACACACACAAACACACACACACACACACACATATTCCATACCTATAAATGTTGAAAATATACCCAAATTATGACTTATTCTGCTATGCCTTAATCTTTTAATTATTATCTTTTCTTTTTATAAATCCCCTCCACTCATTTCACTCTTCTGCTTTACAATTTATTCTTCATTTACGATCTTCATTTCCTTCCACTTTGGTCCTTCTTCTTTTCAAACTTGATACTTACGAGAAAAGGACTAAGAATGAAGACTTAAGGAATGAGGATTTAGACACAATTTGGGAGCAATTTAGTACTGAATTGTGAGGAAAAGACCAAGATGGGAAAATCTCCCCTCTACTTTCCACCCCTCACCCATGCGAACCTGATCATTTCTGAGGTCAAATGCTATCCATTAAGTGGCTACATGACAATATTTAACACAGGAGCCAGTTCTAGGCAGATGTTCTATTCCTATAATATACCTGTCGTCGTCAAGTTGATTCTTACTCATAGCAACCCTATAGGACAGAATAGAACAGCCAAAGAGGGTTTCCAAGGCAGTAATCTTTATGGGGAGCCCTGGTGGCATAGTGATTAAGAGCTTGGCTCCTAACCAAAAGGTTGGCAGTTCGAATCCACCAGCTGCTCCTTGGAAACCCTATGAGCTGGAATTGACTTGATGGCAAAAGGTAATCTTTACGGAAGCAGACTGCCACATCCTTCTCCTACAGAAATTCTAAATATAAATGAATTCATTCAAAAGTTATATTCTACAGGGTACTTCTAGTCATGTCCACATTAGAAATTCACTTCACTGGCTTAACTTATTTCTATATTGTTTACTACAAAACTGCTTTTCTATCACAATAATAATGACAATGCCATTACCAAAAGAATGACCTTGATATATATATATTTGGTCAGTTTAGCCATGAACAAAACCTGCTAGGCTTCTGAGATGTTGTGATCTTTTAACCACATAAAATTTGGACATAAAATCAAATGTAAGTTTTAGGTGTACTGTTGGGTGGTTTATGTTGATAGACATCTTTCATCACAAATGAAACAATTAGACCTTTACACAGAGAAATGGTTAATTAGAAAGGTTTTGTTAAGACAACATGAACTATACCTTGAGCTTCATCTGTCACAACAGTTTCCTTTTTTTGACGAATGAGCCTCCAGGGAGGTACGGGAGGTGATTTTGGTGGTGCTATAAGAGGACAAGACCTAGTTCTAGTTACCAGCACAGGATGGCTACAGATGTGGGAGAGTCCATACTCTCTAAGCTTCTCAGCAGAATCTGCCTAAAAGGTAGAAGGTATATTTAAAGGGGTGCCTGTAGCTAACCGCCTTATGCATTTCAAATAATGCTTGTCATTATAAAATACTATCACCACTATAGAGTCGTAATTAAAAAAAAAAAAATCACTACCCATATTTCAACCTTCTTTAACATGAACACTATTACCATTTGTATTTCTTTCCATCCTTTAATTGTTCTGAGCCATCATTTCCTTACATGTTAAACAAAAGAGTGGAACTAGATAACACTTCTCAGTTCTAAGAGTTTAAGACTCTATGAGATTGTACATCTTAGCACATCAGGTTTGGTCTGAAATTAAGCAACCATTACTTTTATAGGCTAACACTTTGACGCAAGTGCTTAATACGTAAAGTTGTGAGTTTTTCTTTACTATTTTTTTTTTTTTTAATAATCAGAACATGCACTGTATGAAGCATGAATCTAGGAAAATTGAAGTCGTCATAAATGAAATGGAATGCATAAACATCAACATCCTAGGCACTAGTGAGCTGAAATGGAATGGTATTGGCCATTTTGAATTGGACAATCATACAGTCTACTATGCCAGGAATGACAACTTGAAGAGGAATGGTGTTGTGTTGATCATAGAAAAGAACATTTCAAGACCTGTCCTGAAGTACAATGCTGTCAGTAATAGGATAATATCCAAACGCCTACAAGGAAGGCCAGTTAATATGACTATTATTCAAATTTCAGCACCAACTACTAAGGCCAAAGTTGAAGAAATTAAAGATTTTTACAAACTTCTTCAGTCTGAAATTGATCAAACATGCAATCAAGATACATTGACAATTACTGGCAATTGGAAAGTGAAAGTTGGAAACAAACAAGAAGTATTGGTAGTTGGAAAATATGGCCTTGGTGATAGAAATGATGCCAAAGATCACACGACAGAATTTTGCAAGAACAATGACTTCTTCATTGCAAATATCTTTTTTCAACAACATAAACAGCGACCATACACATGGACCTCACCAGATGGAATACACAGGAATCAAATCAACTATATTTGTGGAAAGGGACAATGGAAAAGCTCAGTATCATCAGTCGGAACAAGGTCGGGGTTGACTGTGGAATAGACCTTCAATTGCTCATATGCAAGTTCAAGCTGAAGTTGAGGGAAATTAGAACAAGTCTATGAGAGCCAAAGTATAACCTTTAGAATATCCCACCTGAATTCAGAGATCATCTCAAGAACAGATTTGACAAACTGAACACTAATGACTGAAGACCAGATGGGTTGTGGAACAACATCAAGGAAATCATATATGAAGAAAGAGGAAGTTGTTAAAAACATAGGAAAGAAAGAAAAGACCAAAATGGAGTACAGAAGAGACTCTGAAACTTGCCCTTGAACTTTGAGTAGCTAAAACAAATGGAAGAAATGATGAAGTAAGAAAGCTAACACATTTGAAGGGGCACCTTGAGAAGACAAAGTAAAGTTTTATAATGAAATGTGCAAAGACCTGGAGAAGGAAAACCGAAGGGGAAGAATACACTTCACATTTCTCAAGCTGAAAGAACTGAAGGAAAAAAAATTCAAGCCTTGAGTTGCAATATTGAAGGATTCACATGGAAAATATTAAATAACTCAGGAAGCATCAAAAGAAGATGGAAGGAATACACAGAGTCACTGTATCAAAAAGAACTGGTCAATGTTCAACCATTTCAGGGGGTACGATAATATCAAGAACCGATGGTACTGAAGGAAGAGGTCCAAGCTACACTGAAGGCATTGTCGTAAAACAAGGCTCAGGAATTGACGGAATACCAACTGAGGCGTTTCAACAAATGAATGCAGCAATGGAAGTGCTCACTCATCTAAGCCGAAAAATTTGGAAGACAGCTACCTGGAAGACCCACATCTGTGCCCATTCTAAAGAAAGGTGATCAACAGAATGCAGATATTATCAAACAATATCATTAATGTCACAAGTAACTAAAATTTTGCTGAAGATTATTCAAAAACGGTTGTAGCAGTACATCAACAGGGAACTGCAAGAAATTCAAGCCAGATTCAGAAGAGGACATGGAACAAAGGATATCACTGCTGATGTCAGATGTATCTTTGCTGAAATCAAAGAAAAGCAGAAAGATGTTTACCTGTCTTTTATTGACTGTGCAAAGGTATTCAACTGTGTGGATCATAACAAATTATGGATAATATTGCGAAGAATGGGAATTCCAGAACACTTAATTGTGCTCATGAGGAACCTATACATATACTCAGGGGCAGTAATTAGAACAGAATAAGGGCATATTGCCTGGTTTAAAGTTAGGAAAGGTGTGTGTTAAGGTTGTATCATTTCACCATACTTACTCAATCTATATGCTAAGCAAATAATCCGAAAAGCTGGACTATATGAAGAAGAACGGGGCATCAGGATTGGAGGAAGACTCATTAACAACCTGCGTTATGCAGATGACAAAACCTTGCTTGCTGAAAGTGAAGAGGACCTGAAGCACTTACTGATGAAAATCAAAGGTCACAGACTTCAGTATGAATTACACTTCAACATAAAGAAAACAAAAATCCTCACAACTGAATCAATAAGCAACATCATGATAACCGGAGAGAAGACTAAAATTGTCAAAGATTTCATTTTACTCAGATCCACTATCAATGCTCATGGAACAGCAGTCAAGAAATCAAAAGATGCATTGCATCGGGCAAATCTGCTGCAAAAGATCTCTTTACAGTGTTAAAAAGCAAAGATGTCACTTTAAGGACTAAGGCGTGCCTGACCCAAGCCATGGTGTTTTCAATCGCCTTATATGCATGTGACAGCTGGACAATGAATAAGGAATACCAACTATAATTGATGCCTTTGAATTATGGTGTTGGTGAAGAATACTGAATTACCATGGACACCAGAAGAACAAACAAATCTGTCTTAGAAGAAGCGCAGCCAGAATGACCCTTAGAAGCAAGAATGGCGAGACTGTATCTCTCATACTTTGGATATGTTATTAGGAGGGACCAGTCCCTGGAGAAGAACACTATGCTTTTAAAGTAGAGAGTCAGAGAAAAAGAGAAGACTCATAATGAGATGGATTGACACAGTGCCTGCAACGATGAGCTCAAGCATAACAAGGATTGTGAGGATGACGCAGGACTGGGAAGTGTTTTGTTCTGTTGTACATAGGGTGGCTATCAGTTGGAACTGACTCAACAGCACCTAACAACAAGAACAGGCAATTGCTACCTGGCCTTAAAAAATTTCCAGATCAACAAGATGATTAGTGGTTGCTTTGTGTGCTGTTTATATGCCCTCACCCCTCCAACAGTGGGTTCCTCCACAGAAAATCCCCATGAATACTTAGGACAATGGTGGCATTCATAGAAGTGCAGCAGATAAAGGCTGTCTTATATCCTGCCAAATCAAGGAGCTGTCCAGGTATATGTTTCCCATATTTGAGTGTTCAGATATTCTGAGGCCACTCCACTTTGGAATAATTCAGAATAATATTTAAACAGGACTTCAGTTACCAAATGATGGGTGAAATATGCCATAGGAAATTCAAAAAGCATGCGAGAGATGAAGTGACATATTCTGTAGCCAAATGCTGATTTTGACAGCTTACATTGACATTTAAAATGAAATATTATCTACATTAAAGTCAGTTTTACTGGTAAGTATTTTTCTTCCCAATGATTTTGTAGCACTGGTTTCTATGCAAATTGCAATGACTGAAACTGTAGATTTGTAAAGCAGTCATATAAATTAGAACCAAAACCCACCTATCAGACTATTTCAAATAATCACCTCAGCTAGAACCTGGCTTAGTCTTGTGGCTCTGCTTCTGTGCAGCTCAATCTGTTCTTTTCTGAAGCACAAAACAACCACCACCACCACCAATGAGACACGACAGTACTTCCCGAGGCCAGGAGAATACTGTAAGGAGTTAATCAGTCATTGCACTATTGAGTTGAGCAGCACCATCTGAAAGAGTCTTATAAATATTAAAAATAAAAGAAATGTGATTCAATGTTAAAAAGTAAAAATAACTTTTACACTTGATAGTGAAAAACAAGAGGAAATTGTTATTTTCTCTTTTCAGGATACTGTGGATTTTAGCAACTTACAGAAAAATATTCAGAAACTTCTGGCATTACATTGTATAGTGGCTTAAAAAAAATTAAAAAAAAATATTTCATAGATGATCTAAAGTCTAAGCCTTTTTCCTATAACTTTACCCTTGCCAAATTTTAGAAGTCCCAGCGAGTCGATTTAACACTTGAAAGGAATCCACTCAATGGAAACTTAAGGGAGAATTTATTGATGTAATTCTTTAAGATAATGCCTCAGTATGGCATTTTTTAAAAAGTATGTTACTATAAAAATTACATTTAAATAATACCAAAAATTTAAGTCATACTCAGAGTAGTAGTTATAAGTTGAGTAAGTTCCAGGCATTTACTATTCATAAAATTTGGTCTACATATCTCAATTCCTTCTCATGATTACAACCAAAGTTTTAGTCTATTTTAGTTTCTTTTTTGATCTGTAGTTCATTAGAAAATAAAATGATTTAAGTCATTTTTGAAAATGTAAAGCACAGTGCCAAATAACAAAGCATGTTTTCAGCACCTATTATAGAGTTTGAATAATCCACAGAAGTATTACTTTGATTTAAAGTATTTAAGACAATCTCTCATACTTCATTTTATCTTCAACATACTGCACAATACTTCTGAATCATACAAAGTAATGCTATTAACAATAGCTACAAAATGTTAAGAAACTTTGTTAAAAGACCTCAAAATTCCTTGGATTAGAGTTAGGGGCAGAGAGGGATTTAGAATAGTGCCTGAAACATGCCCTCAGGTAAATCATCTAGAAGACAAATGCAAGGTTCAAAATAAAGTACAATATTGGGATATTTACATTTCATCCTAATTTCCATTCAGTTTTTTAAAATCACCTGTTTCTAACTAACAAAATGAGCGTTTACATTTAATTATATCACCATGCCATCGGACAGAACAAGGGGACACTGAATGGTTTAAAGTCAGGAAAGGTATGAGTCAGGGTTGCATCCTTTCACCATATCTATTCAATCTGTATGTTGAACAAATAATCTGAGAAGCTGGACTATATGAAGAAGAAAGGGGCATCAAGATTAGAGGAAGACTCATTAACAACCTGCCATATGCAGATGACACAACCTTGCTTGCTGACAGTGAAGAGGACTTGAAGCACTTGCTGGAAAAGATCCAAGACTACAGCCTTCAGTATGGATTACACCTCAACATAAAGAAAACCAAAATCCTCACAACTGGACCAATAAGCAACATCATGATAAATGGAAAAAAGATTGAAGTTGTCAAGGATTTCACTTTACTTGGATCCACAATCAACACCATGGAAGCAGCAGTCAGGAAATCAAGACTCACTGCATTGGGCAAATCTGCTGTAAAAGACCTCTTTAAAGCATTGAAAAACAAAGATGTCACCTTGAAGACTAAGGTGCGCCTGACCCAAGTCACAGTATTTTCAACTGAATCATATGCATGCAAAAGCTGGACAATGAATAAGGAAGACAGAAGAATTGACGCCTTTGAATTGTGGTGTTGGCGAAGAATATTGAATATACCATGGACTGCCAGAAGAAAGAACAAATACGTCTTGGAAGAAGTACAACCAGAATGCTCCTTAGAAGGAAGGATGGCCAGACTACATCTTACATACTTTGAATATGTTGTCAGGAGGGATCAGTCCCTGGAGAAGGACATCATGCTTGGTAGAGGGTCAGCAAAAAAGAGGAAGACCCTCAGCGAGATGGCTGCAACAATGGGCTCAAGCATAACGATTGTGAGGATGGCACAGGACTGGGCAGTGTTTGTTCTTTGGTGCATACGGTCGCTAAGAGTCGGAACTGACTTGACGGCACCTAACAACAACGTGCCATCTTATCCTTTCATACTTTAACATAGTGACTTCAGAACATATGGCATCTTAGTAATAATAATAAAGTGGTAGATGTCTAAAAGTTCCAAAACAGGGTTAGCATTCAGTAAACCCAAATGTGATAGCCTATTTGTTTAAGTAGATTGTAGAGTAATCTGGTAGGCTTTACTCTTTGTGAGGAAAGAAGAAAAATTATTTTCCTGTCCAAGAACACAGCATAGCTTAAAAAAATCATGGGAAACCCATCCATACTATGTAAGCACTAAATATTGCCAAATACTTAACATCATGGAAACATGTCCATGATGGACTGTAAAGTGAAAAAGCTGGTTTCCAAACAGAACATGAAGTATAATTCCACTCTGTAAAAAAAGCACACACAAACACAGACTATATGCACAGAAGCGAAATCAAGGGACAGATGCCAAATTGTTAACAGTGCCTACGTCTAGGTGTTTATACTATGAATATTTTAATTTTATCCTCTTTGACTATACTTTATAAATTTTATGTAATTTGTTAATTTTTTAGGAGAAAAAGCAATTAACATTTTTGCTTGTGTTAAGATACAAGGAAGGTCATAGCAATGTTTTGCCAGGCCTGGCTGCAAATTCATTCAAATCATCTTATGTTAAGAAAGAAGCCCTCGTGGTGTAGTGGTTAAGAGCTCGGCTGCTAACGAAAAGGTCAGTAGTTCGAATCTACCAGGCGCCCCCTGGAAACCCTATGGGGCAGTTCTATTATGTTCTATGGGGTCGCTATGAGTCAGAATCAAACCAATGGCAACAGGTTTGAGTTTTATGTTAAGAAAATATGTATGGCTTGCTTATGGGAAGGTGGTCTATTATTATCTGGGAATGATTTACATGATTCTCACTGAAATATGGAATTTCTATGCCTTTTGCCTTTTCTTTTGCTTATAATGGAAGGAATCTATAAACATAAATGTGACTGCATCTGTGCTTTATTCTAAACTATTGCCACCATCTAAGATAATTTTGTATATATGTCAAGTCCCTCAGGTTAAGTACCTTAATGATAAGGAGACTGAATCCAAGGATAGAATTTTAATTAAATTCTGGTGTTCCCGCTACCACATCAAGTAATAATACACACACACATACCCAGACAGAGGGAGACCATAAATGACAACGCATTTCTTGGTCTTGACTGCTTACCATCTTCTCCAATGAAAAGATCTTCTTTTCAAACAAATAGAGAGGAGTAAAGGTAGCATATACGACCATGTGAGGGGACTGTGTTGCTGAAGAACCTGTAAAACCAAACACATACTGTGTCATGAAAATTCTAGTCAAAATGGGTCTGTCAACAGGTCACCCCAGAGTGTTCAAATTCCTTCATGAACTTACCTTTTCTGATGAAAAATTAGCAAATGACTGCAAATGAATTTAACAAAATGTTAAGTCTCAAATATGCATCTATTTTGTAGAATGGCTATCTAGTTTTACCTTCATAACAGTACCATTTAATTACTTGTTGTGAGTTGCCATCAAGTGGATTCCGACTCGTTGCAACCCCATACGTGCAGAGTAGAACCGCTTCATAAGGTTTTCAAGGCTGTCTTCTGAGGTGCCTCTGGGTGGGTTCAAACTGCTAACGTTTCAGCTAGTAGTCAAGTGCTTAACCATTTGCGTTATGCAAGGAGTCTTCATTTATGTCACTGTAAAAAGCTATCGTGTAAAATTTCTCTAGCTATAAGTCAGTGTAATGTAGAAGGGTCCACAAATGAGTACGTCCAAAAGGAATGGTTTAAAAATTGAAACATTTCTTGGCTTTTGTAGATAGAATCTTGGTTCTATTTTGAACTTACAGCAAAGTCCAAAAGTTTCTACAACATTTCAGGATGAAATAAAACATAAGTAAATGAATTCTTCTGTGACCAACGAAAATGTAAATAACTTAGCCGGGAATGTTTAACGCTTATAAAATTTACTTTTGAGTATCAGTTATTTGTGTGTTCAATGTTCACATGTTATTTAACATCCCTGAAATTACAATCACGCCCTGCCACCTGTGAGATACCCTCACAAGTGCTGCCATGCCAATCCTCTTCCACATGTTGCTGTAAAAAAAATTAGCATACCGAACTTATGAAAATACCTCATGGGGGGCAGGGCACGGACGACAAACAAATGCAGAAGGCTCGCGTTATTTTCATGAAAATATGGTATATTTGATTCAGGATCATTTTGCTCTGTAAAGATTCTGGTCAAACCAATAGAAGTCAATTTATTTTCCTCTCTTCTCTTTATTTTTAATTAAAAAGCTCTGTTTTCCACCTTTACAAATTCAAATACTCACATTTAACTGTATTAGAGAATATGTTTATAGAAGAATAATACCTTAGAGCCATAAAGTATAAATCAGATATGAGTCCAGGATCTCTCCAGATGGATCAACATGTGAAATATGCCAAACTATGGAAAAATACTAAACTTTGTACATTTTTCATGGACAATGCCAACACATATTGATCTCTTAGGAACTACACTATTTATCTTGCACACCTGATATTTACCTATGATACATTTGTTTGTACAGTTAGTTGTTGTCTTATGTCTATTTATGCTGTCTTCCCAACTAACTTTTAGGGCATTTGTGTGCAGAGGTTGACTTAATACTTTGGTTTATTACAGAAAGTACCTTGCATGAAGTAGTACATTTTTAAATTTGACTAACGAGCTCAAATCCAAAGCTGCAACAAAATCATCCTTTCTCTTAAAGAGAATGAATGTGAACAAAAAACCTTTGCGTGGAGTTTATAAACAATAATTCTTTCCACTCCTACCAACAGATAAAACAATTCTCTGAGTTTGGCTATTGAGAAGGATTAGGCTCTTTTTGCAAAAATGTGCTTCAGTTTCAGACATTAAATTTACACCCCTGCTTCTTCTAGTCCTAGAGTCCTTTGATTTCAGGCAGAGTGAAAACAGAAGGAAAACAAAGGCAATCATTTTAAACATTCATAGATAATAAAACTGGAAATACAGTAAGAAACATTAAACAGATTGCCAGGATACCGTCAGCAACCTGGGAATGATTCACTAGATCTTTCTAACTTTTGGGCTTTACTTGAAGGTAGTAAATTAAAATGGAAAAACAATTGAATTAGGAGTTCCAGCAAAATGGCACTCTAGGCAGAAGCACCATGCCGTCCCTCCACAGCAAAGATCCGAAAAACTAAGCCGAACAGAGAATACAACACAGCCAAGCACCAAATGGAGTGAGAAAACTGACAGAGAACAGAGAGCGAGGAGAGATTCATTCAGAGGTCCCCTACCAGCTAACGCAGCGCGGATCCACCATCTTGGACTCCTATCAGAGACCATCAAACGGGGGTATGAGAAAGCAGCCTCATGGAGCATCCAGCGGGAGACAAAACAACCAGTAATTTGCAGTGTGCGCTTTCCCAACCCCCACCCCTCTTCGCCCCAGCTCGGCCTCCTCTGCTTCCCGCGGCCATGGTCTCTTGACCGGGAAGTGCCGGCTGCTTAGATTCCACACACCCAAGCGGGCGGCTCTCTGGGTGTCATTTGTTGGCTGCTAGTGTTGCTATTTTTTTCGGCTTCTTTTGATTTCTCACTTGCCTCTCGCCACCTCCCCCTCCTTTCACTCGAGTGCCTGGCTCCGTGCGCCACCTTTGCTTCTTCCTCAGGGGCTGCAGAGCGCCGGCAATTTGTGATGTAGGCTTTCCCACTCTCTACCCTTCTTCACCCACACTCGGCCTCCTCTGCTTCCCGCG